AAAAAAAAAAAAAAAAAGAGAGAGAAAAGAAAAGCAATAAAGCGTGTATTTATTAAATAGTGGCCCTGGGGTCATATGCAAATAATAACATTTTTTTTTCCAAATTCGCAAAAGAAAAGCAAAACGCTGATGGCAAATGCTGCAAATCATAGCATTTGCATTTTTTGGCGTTTTGAACCCATCAGCTATTTTTAGACGTTGTTTTACCAAACAACAAAACAATCAATTTTAGCTTTTTTCATTCCGGCCAAAACCGTAAAAATAGCATTTTCGCAAAAAAAGCCGAAAAACAAACGGGGCCAATACCTACAAACAATCATATGCTTAAAGATTCATGAAATCAACCACAGCCATAAGCAAATAACCTATTTCGATCAGTTTCGGCTGAACTACAACATAAACAAGATGTTGTTGTCTCTACCGAATTAGATTGCGGATCTCCAATCAGTGGAGGGCCTATTTCGTCAGAATGCTCAATGTTAGTAGCCGAGCAGGATGGGTCTTCTTCTTCTAGGCACAATAAAGGTAAGGAGAGAAAGAAGTCTGCAGAAAGGCGAAACCAAAGGCAGCCATGGTCGCTCTCCGACCATCTCAGTTTGTGGCAAAGAAGCCGAAAGGTAAGTTCAACAAGTGCCAGCATCGAGGACACTGGAAGGCCAACTGCACTCTCCTCAAGAAGGGTGATGGAGGTAAATCTCTTTCATTAATTGTTGAAACATATTTAGCGGTATTATCTACCAGTTGCGTAGATACAAAAGCCACTGATCATGTCTACAAATCATTGTAGGGTTTCAAGGAAACCAAGCGACTTAGGGAAGGACAGGTTACCGTCTACATGGGAAAAGCTAGCAAGGAGACGTCTATTTAAGCTTTGGATTTGGTAGGGTTTTAGTTTTTAAAGATTGCCTTATGTTCCTAATTTTAGGAAGAATTCAATTTATGTTTCTAAGTTGTTCACAAATGGTTTTTCTGCTAGTTTTTATAACAAAGTTGTTACTCATTTTGGCAAAAAATTTATTTGAGATGGATCGATAGGCAATCTGTATATTCTAGAACCAAAGTCTCTCTCACTGCAACACAAACAATTACTTAATTCATCATCTAATCAGAATAAGAGAAAAGAACCTTCAAGAATGAATGAAACATATCTTTGACATCTAAGACTTGGTCATATTAATCTAAGGCGAATTCAAAGGTTAGTGGCAAACGGGCCCCGGGGGTTGTTAAAAGTTGAGGCCTTTTCGATCTGTGAATCTTGTCTATAAGGTAAAATGACTAAGAGGTCTTTTAAGGCAAAGGGGGATAGATCCGAAGAGTTGTTAGAACTAGTTCACTCTGATGTTTGTGGTCCTATGTCAGTCCAAGCGAGAGGAGGATTTGAGTACTTTGTCACATTTATTAACAATTACTCAAGGTTTGGATGCATTTACCTATTGCGATGCAAGTTTGAATGCTTCGAGAAATTCTTGGAGTATAATGCAGTTTCGGAGAAGAAACTAGAAAAAAGTATCAAGTCCTTATGATTAGATCGTGGTGGCTAATATCTCTCGGGAGAGTTTAAGACTTTCTTGTCGGAGAATGGGATTCAATCCCAGCTAACTGCACTTGGTACATCCTAACAGAACAGTGTACCAGAGCAAAGGATTATGACTCTTATGGAAATGATTAGGGTAATGATAAGTTACAATACATTACCAGATTCGTTTTGGGAATACGCCCTAGAAGCGACATTTTATATTCTGAATATAGTACTATCTAAATCAGTTCCAACAACGCCATTAAAGTTGTGTTCTAGGCGTAAGCCTAGTCTACGACATCGCCGTATATGTGGTAGTTCAGCATATGTGCTGAAGGCAGATACTGATAGGCTGGAACCTAGAACAGAAGTGAGACTGTTTGTGGGATATTCTAAGGAAATGAAAGGTTGTCTGGTTCATAGTCTCGAGAACCAAAGGGTGATTGGTAGAAAAAATGCACAGCTCAGTAGTAGACATTTTCTGAATACCAAGTGGGTTGATACTTCAATACCAAGTGCACTTGATGTTACATATCATAATACTGCAACATGTGTCATCGATGATGCACCTGTACCGGTAGTACCTCGTCGTACTAAGAGGGTTATTAGGCAACCCGAACGATTCATGTTTCTAGGAGAATCTACTGGGATTTTCCCAGATGGAATTGATATTGACCCATGGGCTTATGATGATGCACTCCAAGATCGGGACGCAAAGTTTTTGCAAAGTGCTATGGAGACTGAGATAGAGTCAATGGACCCTAACCAGGTCCGGGATCTTGTAGAGCCACCCAGTGACATTCACACCATTGGATGTAAGTAGATCTATAAGAGAAAGAGACGATCAGATAGGAACGTTGAGACCTTCAAGACTAGGCTTGTAGCAAAGGTGTATACTCAGAAAGAAGGGACCGATTATGAGAAAACTTTATTGCTGGTAGCCATGCTTGAATCCATCAGGATTCTCTTGGTTGTATGGATTATGAGGTCTGGCAGATGGATGTTAAGACCGCTTTTCCTAATAGGAATTTTGATGAGGACATGTATATGTGACAATAAGAGGGTTTCATTTCAAAAGGCCAAGAGCATCTGGTCCGGTGTTGTAAACGAACCGAACCTAGGCTGTTCGAGCTCTTGTTCGTTTACGTTCGACCAATGTTTGTGTTCGTTCGTTTATTTTTTGAGCAAAAAATCGTGTTCTAGTTCGTTCGTTTAATTGTTCGTCAAAATTCAAGTTCGTTCGTGTTTAAATAATTTAATACACAAACTTCTTAAATGTGTTTGATCAACTCGAATTTGTTCGTTCGAACTCGAAAATAAAAGAATAAATAAAAATATTTTTACATTTTAGATTATTTATTAAAAATATTATGTAAATATATAAAAAATACATAAAATTATATTACATTTTAGATTTTTTATTAAAAATATTATGTAAATATATAAAAAATAAAATAAAATTAATGTTCGCGAACATAATCGAACGTTCACGAACGAGCTCGTGTTTGTTCGATTAGTAAACGAGCCTAATTTTCTGTTCGAACTCGACTCGATTAACAAATGAACGAGCTTTTGTCGAACACGAACGAGCTCAAACGAGCTTTTGTTCCTGAATGTTCGGTACGTTTACAACTCTAATATGATTTATAAGCTTCAACGGTTTGTTTATGGACTGAAGCAAGCTTTGCGGTCATGGAACATCCGTTTTGACGAGGTTGTCCAATCATTTGGATTTACCCACTTGTACGGATGAGAACTTTGTGTACAAGAAAAATGACGGTAACGTGGTGGTGTTTCTTGTGCTATACGTAGATGACATTCTTCTCATTGGAAATAGTGTGAAGAAGCTATCAGACGTGAAGGTATGGTTGTCCAAGCAGTTTGATATGAAGAATTTGGGAGAAGCAGGACACATTCTAGAGATCAAGGTCATTCGAGACCGTGAGAAGAGAATGTTGTGCTTATCTCAATCCTCATACATAGATACTTTCTAGGCGCGTTGCAACATGCAGGATTCCAAGAAACAACAATTGTCTTTTCGGCATGGACTCACTTTGTCTAAGACGCTGTCTCCCAAGACACCTCAGGAGGTATAGGACATGGAGGCAGTTCCTTATGCATCGGCAATAAGAAGCCTTATGTATGCGATGTTGTGTATGCGGCCAAATATTTGTTATGTCGTGGGCATGGTAGCCAGATATCAAAGTAATCCAGGACTGAGACATTGGGCAGCGGTAAAACATATACTCGAGCACCTGAGAAGGACTAAGGAGTATATGTTAGTTTATCGAGTAGACCAATTTCTCACGTTGGGTTACACTGATTTTTATTTTCAGTCAGACCGGGATGAAAGTAAATCCACCTCGGGGTTTGTGTTTACCCTGGGAGGTAGAGCCATAGTTTGGAGGAGTGTCAAGCATAAATGTGTGGCAGAATCCAGCATGGAAGCCGAATATATCACGACCTTAGAGGTAGAGAAAGAAGTGTGTGGCTCATGAACTTCCCTTTAGACCTTAACGTGGTAACAAGTTTGCCTGCTGCGATCACAGTTTTTGGTGACAACAAAGGGGCACTAGCAAACTCGCAGGAACCATGGACACATAGGGTGAGTAAACATATAAAGAGCAAGTACCACCTAATTCAAGATATCGTTAGATGAGGAGAAGTCGTTGTTGCCAAGATAGCGTCAGAGGACAACCTAGCAGATCCTTTTACGAAGAGCATACCGGCGAATGTCTTCGACCGACATGTAGAAGAATGGGAGTCAAATGAGTGGTGACTAGTTAGATTAGTCTTTGAGTATTATATTGAAAAAAAGATATACTTAATAACAACTAAACACTTTATAGAGTATAAATGAGAGATTGTTAGGGTATACTGTAAACGCTCGGCTTTCAGTTTCTGACAATAACGTTTTTAAATGAAAATTGTGTTTTAGTCAAGTATTTTTGCAGTTTATTTATTTATGCGAGCATAAGTACCTTTATTTTGCATTATGGATAATGTGGTTCGATTTGTCGAACAGAAAGATCACATTATCAGTTCATTGGAAAATATAAATAATGGATTCACTATATAGACAAAATTGAACTATATGTTGTAAAAGGTTGTAGTGTGATTTTGATTCAGTTAATCTTTAATTGATAAAATACACTAGTACATCGTGTGTATTGAATGGACCTATGAATGATAAGATTATTTTATACTGACCAAGTAAATAATTTAGACCTTTGTAATTGTTGCGTTCTCTTAACTCGTAAGACAATAAACGGACATATGTACTCTAAAGTTGTGGGGGAATAAACACAAGTATACTAGAATTGTGCTAAGTGAACAAAGTAGTAAATACGAAAATAAGTTCACACAATTGCGGAAGCAATCTTTTACAAAACATGAACCTTCAGGAGAATATCTACGAAATTCATTCATTAGTATAGATGTCTTAGCCATTACTCAAAGGTTTTACAATGTAGGCTCCCTCTCCACTACCTTTGATATAATCACCTACACTATTACTTTTCCGACCACAAATCCCTTGTGGATTTTCTAAAAAGTGCTTTAACATAAATACCGCAGTAAGGAGCGGCAATAAAGTCGAATCGCCCCAACTATTCTAAGTGATCCTCCCGAACACATAGTTCAACAAAACAAAAATACTCACTCTTTGAGATTGAGAACACCATCTCGATTCACTACTAAATAAAATGAAACTCTCAGAAAGTAATATCAAACTCCCAAGAACAATGCTACACCATGTTTTCAAAATTCATAAAAAAAAATAATTCTCAGAATATCTTCTTCAATTTGACATGTGTTCATATGTGAGGCACTAAAAGGTTGACATGTGTCCACATGTGATGTTACCAAAATACCCTATGTTGTCTTTTTTTAAATCAATAAAGACGAAACGACATAGTTTAAGCTCATCTTTTTTTTTGCAAAATTGACTAAAATATTCTCACTTTCTACTACTTTTGGTGGTTATTATTATCATTCAATTGTAACCTCTTTCTTCTTTGCTTGGCATAATTTCTGCACTTCCATCAGCTCTATCTTTCTTATGTTTTCTTTCACTCTCAAACAAACTGAAACCCTAAAAAGATTTCTTCTCCTATCACCACTTTTCATATTCTCCAATCAATTTTTCAACCCAGCCTATGCCTTCAACTCTTCTTCGTGACGGCGGTGCCACCAAGCTCGACGAGCTCTTCGCTTTCATCATCGTCACGTCACCGTTTTAGTGCAATTTCTTATCAGCATCAACATTAGTGTCCCAGTGCTGCCCATGTAGTTTTGGGATTCACAATTCATGTTCGTTTTGTGATTTTCATTGTAAGGGTTTGTTGTTTCTCCCTTCAATGATTGGGGAGATGTTGGTAGTGGTCGGATTCTGCAATCAAAAGGACTAGACATTGCTCAAGCTTTCACTTTGTGTCGGGTTTTATCAAGTGCGTCATACGGTCCAAAGACAAGTTACGAGAAAACTACGTCACCTCGATTCAAGAAAGTCAGATATGGTAATGTAATAAAAAACCCTGAGGGATTGGTAGTAAATTTCACCTTAATGTGTTACTTTAGCAATGTGCTCTATTCATTTAATATTCATCTGTTTGGTTTTCTCAATTTCAGCTTCACTGCTCTAAGTTAGGCAAAAGGATTAAACCTCCAATGATAATGCTCTTGAGTTTTAATGAACGCAAGCTGGTTTTTATGTTCTTTTTCAAATTTGGACTTTGTTCCTGAAATTAGTGAGTACAAGACATGCGCTTTTACACTAAGTAAATAATAAACGTTCACAAGTATAGTGAAAGTCGAATTAACATAAAATGAACCACTACAAGAAATTGTCAAAATGCCAACATAAATTTTTCTGTTAGGGATTACCAACAGATTAACAATGCATTATATATACAATTCTTTTAAACAGATTACCAACAGAATACTAACAAAATATAGCAACGGAAAATTACGTCTTTGTATTCCGTTGGCAAATCGTGACGGAAATATTATGTTAGTAAACACAAACAAAATACCAACAGAATAGCAACAAAATCTTTCAAAATTGTCTTAGCAACAAAAAATTCTGTTTTTAAATAGCAACGGAACTATTCCGTTGGTAAATAGCAACAAAATAACAACGAACACTTTCAATATTGTATTAGCAATAGATTATTCTGTTGGCAAATAGCAACAGATTTTTTTGTTGGCAAATAACAACGAAAAAGCACGGACACTTTCAATATTGTATTGGCAACGGATTATTTCTTGGGAAATAGCAACGGATTTTTTCTGTTAGCAAATAGCAACGGACACTTTCAATATTGTAATAGCGATGGATTATTCTGTTGGCAAATAGCAACGGATTTTTTCCGTTGACAAATAGCAATGGACACTTTCAAAATTGACTTAGCAACGGATTATTCTGTTGGCAAATAGCAACGGATTTATTCAGTTGAGAAATAGCAACGGAATAGCAATGGACACTTTCAATATTGTATTAGCAATGGATTATTCCGTTTGTAAATAGCAACAGATATTTGCCGTTGGCAAATAGCAACGGAATAACAACGGACACTTTCAATATTGTATTAGCAGCGGATTTTTTCCATTGGAAGATAGCAACGGACACTTTCAAAATTGTCTTAACAACGGATTATTCCGTTGGCAAATAGCAATGAATTTTTTTCGTTGGTAAATAGCAACAGAATAGCAACAAACACTTTCAAAATTGTCTTAGCAACGGATTATTCCGTTGGTAAATCCCACTTTCAAAATTGTTTTAGCAATGGATTATTCCGTTGGCAAGTAGCAACATATTTATTCTGTTAATAATAGCAACAGAATAGCAACAGACAATTTAAAAATTGTCTTAGCAACAGATTATTCTATTGGTAAATAACAACGATTTATTCGGTTGGTAAATAACAACGGGTTAGCAATGGACACTTTAAAAATTGTCTTAGCAACCAATTATTCTGTTGGTAAATAGCATGGAATAACAACATACACTTTCAACATTTTATTAGCAACGAGTTATTCCTAACTTATAATAATTATATGCACACATATAACATAACTTAAAATTTAGTTTCATTTCATCTCACAAGATAATTTTCTTTTTTACTATCAAATCTACAATAGGATATGAATTTTTTCCTAAACATTCTACTATTCGTCAAGATTTAAAATTTTTACCAATTTATTAGTATAGTTAAAAATAAAATCAATCAGTTCTACATTATTTTTGGAAAATTCATTATTCGCTCACATATTTTGAATTTTTGATCAATTATACATACAATTTTCTTAGTTTTATTGCACATTAATTATAAAATATTATACATTTAACAAACAAAAAATTCCACAAATATTTTTTTTATTTTACTACCCTATCTAACTGCGTTAGTCTCCTAACCACAAGTGATTCGAAGTATCCCCGAATGTTGTTTCAATTATATACCTTGTAAAAGAAATAATAGGTAATTAATGTGGATAGATTCTAATTTTATTAGAATTTTGTCGATCATGTTTGATTGATTTTTTTGGGGTTTATTTCATTATACAATTGTTTCCTTACAAGAAATTCTAATTTTTGATGATTTTCTTTTCCATTATTAAAAAACTTTTTTTTACAAAATAAAATATTTGACATAATTAATTTTTGTCACTAAATCGCATTTTTATGACAATTTTATGTGTGACTAAGAACGATTTACTGTGCAATGATGATAATTTTTATTTTTATTAATAAAAACTATTTTTTATGACATTATTCAATGGTGTCTATAAATTACATGTTTTATGATACTATTTTTTAAAATGGGTGAATCTTATGACAATTTCATAGTCCATAGTGACAAATTAATTTATTTTTGTCACTCGAATGTACATTAATAATTATTAATGACCCTTTTGATTTAATCACAAAATTACATATTTTCCAATGAACTCGTCACATTTAATGGTTAACAATGATATTCATTTAACAATGTTCTAAATTTATAGATACTTATATATTTAGTTACTTTTTTTTATAATTAGATATATTAAAAAAATATCAAATATAATTGAACGGTTAGATCATAAATAATACAAAAATTTTTATAAACTTAAATATAGAATATAATTTATGTATATTTACTAATTATTTTCTCACATATATACATACATATATATATGTGGTTCAAATGAGAACCAAGTCTTGTCGTGAGAATTGTGAGAACCGCTATTTTCAATTGTACGTAGTGCTATGATTGATTCTATTTTAATGCTATTTTTAACATGGATGTATTTTATTAAAAATAGTAACACAGTTTATATTAGTATTTGTAAAAATGATAGCACCATGTGATATTAAAAATAGCATCATACACAATTAAAAATAGCACCAAATATGGTTCTCACGGTTCTCACACCAGGACTAGTTTTTATTTGAACCAGTCCCTATATATATATATATATATAAATGTATATACGTATAAAGTAATATGTAATAATTGATAAATATAAGAATTGTGGAATCATGTCTCATACATTCATATAGCCTAGTGGTAGTGTTACTGACTTTAACATGCAAGAGGTCTTGAGTTCAAGTCCTATTGTTAGGAGAATTGAGAGAATTAGTAAGAATTATATTGGTGGATGGCTATGGGATCAAGGTAAGCCATGTGGGTCATGTGGTTGTAGCCTTCAAGTTGGATCAACAATTTTTTGATGCTAAAAAACTCGTTGGGGAAATTCCGTTGGTAATCCGCTGCCAAATTTCGTTGGTAATCCGTTGGGAACAAATCCGTTGGTATTCCATTGGGAAGGATTTTGTTGGTAATCCTTCCGTTAGGAAAAAATATCCATTGGTAAACAATCTATTGGTATATTCGTAACTAATATGTTGGTTTTCTGTTAGTAATTTACCAACGGAATGATTTAGCAACTACATTTTCTGTTGGGAATCCCTTGACAATCTCATTAAGCATTTCAGTTGCAAATTTGTTGGTAATCCGTTGGAAATTTTTCCAACGGATTGTATTTTCCGTTGGCAAAAATTAATAACAAGCCATATAGCAACAAGAAAATCCATTGGCATTCTGTTGAGAAATTTGATCACCAACGGTCTATTCCGTTAGTAAAACTCATATTTCTTGTAGTGAGCCTTCAAAATAGCATCTCACTCTCTCTCGAAACTCTTTCATTAAAAGTATTTGGCCAACCGTACAACTAGGATTTATAGCAAAGACTCTCTCTTCCTAACTTACGTCGTACTCACACTTATCTAACTACTCTTTTGGCAACTCATGTGGACTTTGTTTTCATACACGGATCCCTTCGAGCATTGAAAAGTGCTCGTCCCAAACACTAAGAAGATGATTATAAATCTTGTGGCTTAAATTAGAGTTGATAACTTCTAATTTGATCACTCACTTAAAAAAAATAAACTAACAATACCGCTCTTCAAAAGCTCTCTCGCACGCTCTAATCTAAGATAATGAAAGTGGCCAAGTAAAACTAGAATGCGTGTAAAATAAATATAAGGTTGTACAAGGTAAGCAGATTCTTTAGAAAATTTCCAATATAGATACTCTCTTCACTTAGGTATGTCTTGTTAGTTTTTATATTGGAAGCTTGGCTTTCACACTATTTATGTTGAATGAGAATTCATGTTTGATTAAATAAAGTTCTCTGTTTTATGTTTTGCATTTAGATAAATGGTTCATCATGAATGGACAAAAGATCATTTATCGGTTACTTGCGAAACATACACAATTGACTCACAACCTAGATGGAAATCGAACAATCCATTAGAATGGTTGTAGTGTGAGCGGTGCAGTCTTCTTCACTGATTAGTCACACTAGTACATATTGGTGTATTGACTGGTTTCAAGAGATGAGCAGTTTATTTTTTACTGATCAGCGTAAACGAACTAGGTCTCGACTAATTATTGAGTTCTCTTAACCCGTAAAATATAAACAAACACATGTATGTAGTAATTAATGTTTTGATTCAGTAAGATGAGGTTTATTGATATAGACCAATAACTGTCTGGGTTGGGTAGTGATTCCTACATGACATGGTGTTCTGTCATAATATTTGCAGTCACCGTGTAGTTCACATAGTTGAGGTTTGATGATGTCCCCGAAGTGAGTTCAGAAGGATTATTATGTTAAACCCTGCAGGTGGATTAAATTCCGAATGGTGCTAGATTTGGTTCAAGAAGTCAATTAATTTAATAATCCATAGTTAAATAAATTGACGGACATTATATCTTAAACATGGAGAGATAATTCAAGTATATTAGAAAGTAGAGCTCAAACTGTAATTTGGAAATTAAATTGGGAGTATTCAATAATAGTACTTTAGTGCGATGAAAGTATTATTCCTATTAGGCTTGTGTAACACCCCGCTTATCAGAGTAAATTTTTCGCAACTTATACTTCGAAATACTTATAAATTTCTTGAAATCTTTTGCACTTAACTCGGGATGCTACTAAAACTTATCTTTTCTGAAAAATCCATTTTATTTAAACTTGGTCTTACTGGTTTAAACATAAAAAAAAAACAGATTTTATCAAACATGCATGTAATTGGACCATGTTCATACTATTGAACTGGTTAAAATCTGTACGTCTGAAAATACTTAACATGCAGGTTCGAAACTTGAAATGCGTAGCGGAAATCTGAAAAGCGTCACATAATGTTATACAGACTG